AAATTAATCATATTTATGAAAATTTAATTTGAGATAATTAGATTTATTTGATTATCTTAATTAAAGATGAGTAAATGTGATTAATTAATTTTAATTAATTTTAATTAATGTTAAGTTAATTATTTAATTAGACTAATTATCTCAATTAATTAATTTCAATTTTCGATTAACTTTAATTTTGGTCAAAGTCAAAGTCATCTTTTATTTTATTTCAATTTTACTCAAAAGTTTCATAATTAAGCAATTTAATCCATGGGTCTCAACTCTTTTCAAATCAGTCCTTCATGTTTTAAATTTAGTCATATCAATCCTTTATTTTTTTGGATTTAATCAAACTGGACCCTTTTAATTTCTACTTGTGTTTATTGTGCATGCATATTTTTGATTTTGTTTCTTTCAGTCCAAAAATTAAAAAGTGTTTCAATTTGGTTTATCTCTTTTTTTCAAGTTTGCTTATTAAGACTCAACATAAAAATGATGAATAAGTTGATTCCAAACCCCCAATTTTAAAGTATGCAACCGTGTTTAAACGGAGGATTGTGAAGTGCGCGTATGCCTTTTCTCACTCCTAACCGAACTCCCGAACCCCGATCTCTACGCAGACCCGTTTTAGGTGACTTGTCCCACCTTACAATTTGGATGAGTGGCGACTCCCCTTTTCTTTTTATATTTTACACTTTTTAATCATGATAAATCTTGATTTTTCAATTTATTTTGAAAAAATCTTAAGTGGTCGTCAACACCATCCTATTATCCACCAACGTGACAATTCCAACTCCTATAAGCACAACTTTCCTGCAAAACTACCCATACCCACAAAATTGTATCAATTTCAGTGAAAAACGAATTTGGAGTCTGAATGCTTTTTAAAAAAAGGATGCAACTAGGAAAAGTTGTGACCTCAGCAACAATTCCTTTCATCCTATGAATCAGTAAATGAGATTTGCTCAGCCTAAAACATGAACCCCAAAACTTCATAAAAATGTGGACACTGAAAAAGAAATTCATAGAACATGAAAGAAAATGAAGCGAAAACAATACCTTCGTTGAGCATCAGCACCCCCAAACCCTAATCTTGTTGTTGCTGAGAACTCCAAATCTTTCTTTAGCTCGGATCTATTCCTCAGTTAACCTACAAAGTCTCGAGGTTGGTCTTCGGGTAGACACTATGACGCTTAAATAAGCAATAGTCAGGTCTGTTAGAGAGAAGGAAAAGGAGAGCTTGAGATCGGTTTCAATTACCCTTGAGGGGGAGCCTTAGGGGGTATTTATAGCCTTCAAGAGAGGTGTCTATGTGTTGCTCTTCACAAACAACTTGGATCATATGTGCCAATGATCGTAGGAAACTCTCCTAAGAGATCTGTACACGTATAGAGCTACTATAAAGCATGAGTGAAGAGGACGAGCTCGAACTCGATTGAGCTCATTGCGCTTCAAGCAACGTCAGACAACTAAAGGGTGTTAGGAATAGCTTAGCGCGTCTGAGGTGCGCAACCTCGAACTACCATCACTACACTATTCCCCCCTCCGAAGTTATTTACTTGTGAATGATATGAGGGTTGTGTTATTGATGGACAGGGTTAGCATTATGAAGTGTGGTCATGAGATGTGTGGCTGGAGCCAAAGTGAAGATATAATAACACATGGTCATGTAATGTGTGGTCGGAGTCGAAGTGAAAATATGATGACACGTGGTATGTGATGTGTGGCCGGAGTCGAAGTGAAAATATATAAGTGAATGCTAATACATTTAAAAGGCAGTTAAAATGGCTACATTGGATTTGGATGGGTATTTGGAATGTAACTGGGGTGAATCAATTGAGGAGTTGACAATTGTTCTCGTATGACGCGTTGTAATAAATGAGCGCAGTCAGGAATAATTGTCGAATTCATAAGGATGCGATTGTGATCGTTAGATGTGAGTGATTGTAACCATTAAGGGAACTGAGGTCTTAGTATAAATAGTCAGGTTTGAGTTATTCAGAATTTAACTTGTTAAATTTGTAGCGGTGCGTTGCCGAAATCGCATTAGAGCACTTCGTCATCCGAGCTTTGATCTACTGACTTGAAGTTTCTAGTCTAGAGAGCTAGTAAAAAATCACAAGTTTTGCACTTCGGTCATCACAAGATCAAGTAACCTTATGAGCTCATCTTCTAGTTTAAGTGAAGTGTCCAATTTCATTATAACATGTTTAGACTTAATACTGAGTCCAACTAGGGAGATTAGGGATAGGTCTGAGAGTGAAGTAGAATGTGAGAGAGAGCTAATTGAGGATCCTAACTATTCTCCCCCTCTTACTCCTTGTAGTGAGAGTTACGAAATAGAGATGTCATTTGAGGGCACACTAAGTATTGGGAGGGAAGAAGAGGTACACCAGATGGATTCAAGTGAGAGTAGTAGTGAAGTAGAGACTTTCAATAACGGTGGGAGTGAGAGGAGTGGAGGTGAGGTGGAAAAGGTAGGAGTTCCTTCCAATATCTTGGAAGTTGAAACAATAGGGCCAAGTGTTATAATGAGGAGGAAGAGGTGATTGTGGAGGTGGTAGTGTATGAGGCCATATAAAGGAGTAAGAGTGACCTCGTACATCTGGTGGAGTAATATTCTATCCCGGGGCACGTCTTGCTTAAACTAGTTGGTGAAATGGAACAGGCATGTTCAGCTCCACGGGGCCATTGGATGCCCATAAATGACCACTACCTATCAACCGGGCTTAGGTTTCTGGTTCCTGAGCTGCTCATGGCCTTGCTGAAGGAGTATGGGTTGGGAATGACACAGATCGTCCCCAACGCTGTTTGGCTAATCATAGGATTTCTAGTGTATTGTCGAACTCGAGGTGTACTCATTCCCACAATTAATGTATTTAAGTATTTTTTCTTAATAAAGGAAGTGAGTAATAAAGAAAGGGGGTGGTTTTATTTTGCACCACGGGTGGCTAGAGGTGGAAGCAAGAACTTATTTAGTTCGGGTCCTTCTATTAAGAGGTGGAAAGACAAGTTCCTATTTGTTGATGATATGGAGTGAGGGAGGTTTGATGCAGAGGTGACAGAGCTAGGTAGATGGAAGGGCAAAAAGGCTAACCCCAATAAATACGTGTTGAATAAAGGTGAGCAGGGATGAAGAGGTGGTGGACATTATGTACCTCACCAGCCTAGAAATATTGGAGATGGCCGAGATCTATGCAACAAGCTTGATGAGTGGAGGTCTGTTTATTCAAACTAGATTTATTTAGTTGCAAATCTAATTAAAATGTTAACTTTGTTTTATTTTGTAAAGGAGATGAAACAACTTCTGGCTAGAGGTAAAACCGTTGCTCTCCCAAACAAGAGGTCCAAGACTCTTGCTCCAAGTGTTGTGGAGGAGAGGACAATGGGTGGGACTTCAAGACCCCACCCAAGTGGAAGAGCCCAAGTTGAAACAGGTGCTCGGAGCAAAGAGGAAAAGGGTTGAAGAGAAGGTTGCAGCCCAAAAGAGGAGGAGGTAGAGAAGGTCCAATAGCCTTAGCCCGAGGCCCTAATCGAGTTCGTGCCTCAGCCTCCACTATTCAAATTGACCCAGCGTTACAAGAGGTGGTAGTGGTAATGCATAGGAAGGGGAAAAACTCCCTTATCCCAAACCAAAAGTCCAACTTTCTTGAGGATGCGAGTAAGGACTGATGCAAAAACGTTTCATCAATGCCACCTTTCCTGATGTGGACTTGAAAAACGCAAGGAATGAGGTGGGCAAGCACAGAGGTTCCGACATCGTCCGTCACGCCCTTGAGGTAGTAGCTAAAAACCCCTTCTTTTTTTTTTTTTATTAAATTCAACTCATTTTTGCAGGCAACGAATTTGGTAAATGCTTTGGCAATGGAATACTTCAACTGTCTAAAGGAGCAAAATGCCTTGGCTAAGAAGAATGACGAGCTCAACTAATGACTTGACCTCAGAGCTCAAAAAGGTCAGGGAGGAGCTGGTCATTGCTAAGAAAGCTACTGAGCTTAAGGAAAAGAAAAGAAAGAAGTGTGAGGAAAACTTAGCCAAGGCAAAAAACCAACTGGCCAAGGTGAAGAGGAAGGCTAAGCTGGCAGTTCATAATTTAGTTGAGCAACATGTTTCAAGCTTCATCAAATCTGTGACCTTCTCTGAGATCGCGGATCTCTATTGGCTGCCTACTTTGATGATGGCCTTCATTGACTTTAGAAAAAAGGTGAAAGCTCAAAATCTTGAGGTAGACATGACAAAAATCAAGTTCGTACCTAAAAGATGGGGATAGCAAGATAGTCGAGTTTCGGCCCAAGATAACACTAAAGTCAGAGCAGGACGAAGCGAGACGAACTGTGTTTCCCCCACACTTGGAGTATGAGTTCGTCACTATAGACAAAGGTGAGGCTGACGTTCTTGGCGGTATTGAGGTCGAAGACAATGTTGTTGAGTAAGAGGTGGACCAGTAGCATCTAGTAATCAGCTAAGGTCGGCAAGTTCGTTTTCAAAATTTTTTTATTGTAAATCGAAAAATACTTTGTACTTTGTTTTGTTTTAATATTTGAAGTTCAAGGAATTCCTTTTGTTTGTTTTTAGTATTTAAACCCAAGCTCTAACATCGGTATCCAAATTGAAACTGAAACAGAAATTGACTAAGTAAAACATGAAGCTGCAAAAATTGACCTTGGCTCAACAAATGAGGAGCTTAGGTTAAACAAACAAGTTTTGACCTTGGTTCCAAAAATTAAAGTAACATTACTAAGGTTAAAAAATGAATAATAAAATGAGGTTAACATTTTATTAAGGGTAAGATTTCTTCAAGTTGTTTACATTCCATACTTTGGGAACCCTCTTGCTCGCAGCATCCTGAAGTATATAGGTGTCGGGGTGAGGTACTTCAGCTATTACATACAGGCCTTCCCAGTTTGGCGCTAGCTTGCCGAAGCGAGTTTCAAAGCTAGTGAACCCTGCCTTTCTGAGGACGAGGTCACCAATCTTAAAACTTCAGGACCAAACTCATTTATTGTAGAAATTGGCTACCTTCTACTTATATGCTAATGTTCGAAGTTGAGGTTGCTCGCGGACTTCATCTAGGAAATCAAGGTTTTCCCTAAGTATTTGCTCATTTCACGTTGCATCGAAATGACCGACTCTCAAGCTTTGGACACCAATTTTGACAAAAATGGCTACCTCGATCCTGAAAGCTAAGTGATAAGGTGTTTCACCTAATTAAAATAATTGCATTCTAAGAACTTTTCGTTTCTTTCGGTAATTATGACTTGGAACAAAATAGTGAAAAAAAGGAGATTAGAGCAGGTACATGTAGCAGTTCGGCTCATAGTTTGGTAAGGCCAGAAGTCATTGTTGAGCTCGTCTACCCATTTAGCTTTAAGCTGATCGAACCTCGATTTGATCCCTTTTAAGATAACTTTGTTGATAGACTTGACCATTTCGTTCGCCTCGGGGTGATAAACTAAAGTGAACACCAACTTAATCTTATAGCTGGAGCCAAAGTTTTTGAAAGAGGTGCAATTGAACTGAGGTCCATTGTCAACAATGATTTGATTCAATATTCCATATCTACAGATGACAGAACTGAAAACAAAATCTTCTATCTTCTTAGAGGTCAAATTGGAAAGAGGTCGAGCTTCCAACCACTTTGTGAAATAGTCAATAGCCACAACTAAATGTGTCACTCCCCCTACACCCTTGACAAAGGGATTGAGAAGATCTACTCCCCATTGGGCTTAAAGCCATGGTGCAAGCAAGTTAGTAAGCTCCTCTGTTGGTTGATAGGTGAGATGTATAAAAAATTGGCATTTTTGGCATGTTTGCACAAACTGCTTTGCGTCTTGCTGCATGTTAGGCCAATAGTACCCTTCCCTAAGTATCTTATGGGCCAAGGTCCAAGCTCTTATGTGACTCCCACACACACCCTTGTGCACTTCTCTTAGGGCATACTCGGCTTCATATGGCATTAGACACAAAAGCAGATGGAGCAAGTATAACCTCTTATACAAGACATAATCAATTAAGGCATATCGGATGCCTTTCTCTACAACTTCATCTCTTCTTGCTTATTACTTGGGATAATTCCATCTCGAAGGTAAGCTTTGATAGGGTCTATCAAGCTGGGAGTTTCGGGATCAAAACTGATCTCCATCACCCTCGACGTCAGAAAGCTTGGTTCACTAAGGACTTCAATATAGATGGATCTCACTCCACTAGAGCTATCAAAGGCTAACTTTGACAGGACATCTGCATGTTCATTCTCTACCCTTGGGACCTTTGTGAGCTAGAATCTCTCAAAATGGCACCTCAATTCAGAAACTACTACTACGTACTTTGCAAGAGTAGGATTTGTGACTAACATGTGGAATTCACTTGGTTGACAAGAAGTTGGGAGTCATTATAGATTCGTAGAGATCTAACCTTGAGCTCGGTTGCTAAACGGAGTCCAAGTAGTAGCGCCTCATACTCAACCATATTCTTTGTTGCCTTGAAGTTGAACTTTAGTGCGTGCTCACTTCGAAAATTCTCAAGTTTGATCAACACTGCTCTAGCGCCTAATCCCTTACTATTGGATGACCCATCAACATAAAGAGTCTATAGCTTTGCTCTATCACTTGAATTCTCTTGATTAGAAGTTCACTACACTACAAAGTTTGCTAAGGTTTAAGCTCGGATTGTCGACCTCTGCTGAAACATGATCTAAAATTCCCCCAGCTCCACTACCCACTTGATGAGCTTGCCTAAGCATTCCAGCTTCTGTAAAATCTACCTTAAAGGTTGGTCAATCAACACAACAATGGGGTGGGATTAGAAGTATGGTCTCAGCTTCCTGGGCATGGTGACAATTGACAAAGTTGCCTTTTCTGTTATGGAGTATCTTTGCGCAGCCCCTTGTAACACTTTACTGGCATAGTACATTAGCTTTTATTGCTTTCCAACTTCTCTAACCAAAATGGAGCTTACTATTGTGTCAGATATCCCAAGGTAGAGGTAAAGAATCTCATCCTTGTTAGCCTTAGTCAACGAGGTAGTGAACTGAGGTATGCTTTGAGCTCATCAAAGGCCGCTTGACACTCTAAAGTCCATTCAAACATCTTGGGCTTCCCCGCTTCATCCTTATATACCGTGGACCTTAGGATTCTAAACAAGGGTAGGCATTTGTTTGTTGACTTAGAGATGAACCTATGCAGAGTTGCTTCCCGTCTCGTTAGGCGCTACACATCCTTGATTGACTTTGGTGGTTTCATCTTCTATTGCCTTTATCTTCTCGGGTTTGACTTCTATCCCCCTCCTAGAAACCATGAATCCCAAAAATTTGTCGAATTCCAAACCAAAAACACACTTTGTGGGATTCAACCTCATGATGTGCTTCCTTAGATTGTCAAATGTCTCTACGAGGTCGGTCAGATGGACTTTTGCCTTAAGGCTCTTGACTAGTATGTCATCTACATAAACTTCAAGATTCTTACCAATCTAAGCTCGGAATACAATTGTTATCATTTTATGGTATGTAGCTCTTACATTCTTGAGCCTATGGCATCATCAGATAGTAATAGATTTCATCCCTAACATAGAAGAAGGTCTTCACCTCTTCTGAAGGTCTTCACCTCTTCTTCAGGTGCCATTTGTACCAAGAGGTTAAGTGTTTCATTTTCGGACGTGGCTTCCATTAGGTTGTCTATGCTTGGCATGGGGTAGCAATCCTTTGGGCAACCATCATTAAGATTGGTGTAATCAATGCACATCCTCCACTTGCCTTGAGTAAGCATCTAAGAGGCTAAGTCTTTCATTTCCGAACGTAGCTTCCATTAGGTTGTCTATGCTTAGCATGGGGTAGCAATCCTTTTGGTAAGTGTCATTAAGATTGGTATAATCAATGCACATCCTCCACTTGCTATTTGATATCTTGACCAAAACAGAATTAGCGACCAATTCACAATAGTCTACCCTTTTTACGAACCTTGCTTGTAAAAGCTTCTGTACCTTTTTCTTGATGGCCTGCAACCTCTCTCTCCCCCCCCCCCCAA